CTGCAGCTCCACTGTAGGAAAAAACAAACTGATTTGAATTTCAATAGGAACTCAGGCAGAACTCTCTCTCTCTCTTTTTGCGGTTTAAATGCTCGTGCGTGGCGCAAAGTTTCGCTCCAAACTTCTGCGGAAAAACTGCGCATTTTCGATTCGCTCTGAAAGTTTAACTTTTCACGTTTTATTGCGACAACCTGAAGGTTTTAGATGCGGTTGTTTCCCCCAGAAAATGCCGAGTTAAATAAGAGACATCTCCAGTACAGTGGCGCACATTTTGCGGGTAAATGAATAAATGTGCCGCAGATGTGTCTGATGTGTTCCAGTGAAGCTGATTCAATCAGTGACGTAATAATTACCGCAGCTGGAGCAGTTTGACATCTTTCAGGTGTTTTTTTTTTATCATTTGGAGGTAAAATGAGACTTGATGACAGATCTCTCAGAGGAACGGATCAACTGGATCATTAAGGCAGAGGTTCTCAAACTGAGGGTCCCTGGACCCCCAGGGGTCCGTGAAAGGCATCCTGGGGGGTCCCCAAAAAGTTTCACTAAATTGTTTTAGTTTTTATGTTTAAAAATGCATGACGAATAATGAACTAAAAACAAACATGAAGTGTTAAATTTGCCTCAGTGTTGGTGTTAATTCACAGTGTTGATCTCATCAGTGTTGTCTCAACACTGGACAGTGTTAAATAAGCTCCGCCCACTGTTAAGTCTTAACACTTAACAGTGCCCTTATATAACACAATGCAGTGTTGAAAGAAGCATTCTGAAAAGCCCCGCCCTCTTCCTCATGGACCAGAATTTTCTCAGCAAGGAATGCTGGGTAATGTAGTAGAAATGATGTGTTTACATGTCTAAGACTGTTAAAAATGTTCATGAGTGTAAAAAAATTGTTTTTCTGGTCAGTTTTCTTGTTCAGGTTGTTTAGTTTTTCAAGTTTAAGTTGTGTGTTTTTTGCCATAAGTTGACACCATGAGTGAGAGCTACTTCCTGGTGTGTGAAGGGTCACACTGTTGTGCTGTTTTGCCAACTGATGATCAGTGTTAACACAACACTTAAAGCGTTGATTTTAACTCTACTTTAGAGCGCAGTACTCTGTGTACTCTGACTCACACTGTGTAAAACAGAAAACAAAAAATAATGTTAGTATTACACAATAAAGTGTACTTTTTAAACAAAGTGTAGTGTAAAATTAACTCCATAAAAATAACAATATTACTCTATAGAGTGTTAAATAATTTTACTCAGTTCATTGTTGATTTTGACACTAAAATGAGTAAAATTAACTGTGAAAAGTTTACACTCATTTTGAGTGGGACCAAATATATCCAACAGTTAAATTCAACTCTAGGTGTTAAAATTACACTTTGTTTTTACTGTGTAATAAACTAAATATAAATATATATTGCCATGGCATTTAGGTGTTGAAATGACAATAAATCATCTTTTAAAACAGCAGTGGGGTTTATGAGGGGGTCCCCAGACCCAAATGGTTTGAGAACCCCTGATCTAGTAAAAATAAAAGTACCACATCAACATTTTTACTTGAGTAAAAGTAAGTACTTGCTTTTAAAAGTACTTGCTTAATGTATTCCCTAATGGTCTACAATATTATGAAGTGTGTCTATTTTAAATCCATCAGTGGTGTGTGGTTTTAGTGGTGCCCTCTGTGACACTGTTCACACTTGGTGTGAGTCTGTGCTTCATCGCAGATCGTGACAACATCACCATCGTCCTTTATCAAACCTCAACAAGTCGTTTTTTGAACCAGTTAACTTCCAGTTAACTTCCAGTTAACTTGAATAAATAAGGCCATGAGTGGCACATTTCCTCCGCTGTGGGCGTGATGCTGCTGCAGAATCGCTCCGCTTTTTTATTTTATTTTACTTTTTTGAAGGAGGGGCTAAAGATATTTCCCTGCTGTGCAGTGCTTCAATGGACCAATGACAGAAATTCTCCTCTCACCACAGATTATTTTCAAACTAAACAAACCAAAATTTAAAAAAAAAAGCAATGCGACGTGACATGAATGTAGTTTGTAATTCAACGCATTACAGAAACGTAGTGGAGTAGAAAGTACAGATACTTAATGTAAAATGTAGTGGAGTAAAAGTACCCATGATGAAATCTACTTAAGTAAAGTACAAATACATGAAAAATGTACTTAAGTCGGGGGCGTCCAAACATTTTCCCTGAGAGGGCCAAAATTAAAATCAATCTTAGGGTGCTGGGCCAAATGCAACAATACACGAAATGCAAATACTTCAAGTTGTATTTTTTATGATTAAGCCAGCAGACAGWRCRGTTGSCCACATTTTCTTGTTTGTTTGTTTTTTTCAGCCCATGGACGTGGAGAAAATTCAACGTATGCATGGGCAGCAAAAACTCATGGGACTTTTCATAATTTAAAATTTGAGTATATGAGGTCTTATAAGGTGTGTAAATCTAAATATGGACTTAAATCTAATATAAATGTCTCTTGAAGTTACTTGTATTTTAAGTTTAATCTTAATTCAGAGATAAAGTGAGCACCATTAGTTAAGACTATCTGACTACAGCTCCTGGTACTTGTAGTTGGACCAGTGTTTGAAAAGGCAAAGTGCAAATATAGTATTTCTACATAAGACAGGAGATTACAGTCTAGTAACCAGGATAACTGCTGGTGGGCCAAATCAAATGGCTTGGCGGGYCAAATTTGGCCCGCRGGCCCCASTTTGGTCACCTCTGASTTAAGTACAGCAACAAAGCATTTGTACTTGGTTACATCCCACCACTGTGTTCCAGTGAAGCTGATTCAATCAGGGACACAGTAAGAACTATGTTACTGCAGTCTRTTGCGCTGACGGTCAGGTTCAGGTGTTTTGCAGGTAAAAGACTTGACAAATCGGTCCTCAGAGGATCGGATCAGTYGGATCATGAAGGAGCTGCAGAGGCTCAGCTCTTTTTTATAAACTGCTCTTCTCTCTCCTCTTCAGTCCAGGTGACCGGGTGAATTCCAGGGAGTGACAGAGCGACCCCCCCGGCAGCAGTTGATGGTTGTCCGGACCCCCTCAGATGGGATCAGTGTCCGGGGGGAGGTGGAGAAGGGGGGTATGGGGAGCCCTGTCCCCCTCTAACGGGATGGCCCTGTGGGCCTGGCTGCTGGCCTCCGTCCTGCTGTCCCTCCTGACCGTCAGCGTGGCCCGGCCCCCCCTCACCGCCACCAAGGAGGAGGAGGAGGCCACTCTGGAACCTGAAGGTGAGCTGCAGGAGTGGGGGGGGCTGAGGGGTCTGACCTGTGGGTCCCGGGACCCTGTGCAGCACGACCACATCTTTTTTTTGTGTTTAGAACCCAAATGGATCAGTCTGAGCTCCACCTTTAAACCAGAGGTTCTCAAACTGGGGTCCCTGGACCCTCAGGGGTCCATGAAAGGCATCCTGGGGGTCCCCAAAAAGTTTCACTAAATTGTTTATTTGGTTTTTATTTTTAAAAATGCATGAAGAATAATGAACTAATAAAACAAACATAATAAATTTAATAAAAATATAGATTCCCATGGCGTTTAGGGGTTTAAATGACAATAAATTATCTTTTAAAACAGCATGGGGTTTGGGG